AACCTCTGACCTGTGGTAGCATGGCGAGGGTTTGGGCACATGGGCTCTGCAATTCTGGTATCAAGCGATTGGACAAGAATAAAGGTAGATACTGAGGAAAATGCTACCCCTAACTTACTCTAAAAATGGCACCTTCACTATAGACTCAGTTGGTAGTACATACGAAATATACTCACAACCCATAACAACTTTTTTACTGGTAACATCCATAATCATGGGTTCAATACTCAACATGAGATAACTATATTTCTGCTAGTTATCCCCAATCAGGTACAACAATCATCTTTTGGCCCCTATATTGTAACTGTGAGGAATACACCAGGGTATCACACTGGTGTCACACCAACAAACGAAGAACGTTGTTAGGTCGATTGCAGTATGACACTGAGAAGTTCATCCCGCGGGCTTAGTTCCCAGGGTGCGAGACTCGCTCAATTCAATCGTTATCCTTCAAGCTGGTATGCAGCTACCGATCCCTGGTAGTTGCTGGGTATTCAGCTATCACCCACTCTGTACCTGGAGATGCGTTGAGGAAGAGTCACGAGTGTGTTAAAATGGTCTAATTTCAACTATGCATAACATACGTCTGGCAACGATACTTACGTTACTTTAATTATACTTGGCACACAATCATTTCACTATGTTAAAACATGAACACTGATCTTCACAAAATTCAAGTGAGTTAAACTGACTTTACATGGTGGCGGAAAACAATCATTCACATACCTGGAGATGCGTTGAGGAAGAGTCACGAGCGTGTGAGTCTTCCTCGTGCATTCGTTTATGTATGGGCATCTGGCAACTCATGCTTGCGCAGGCATGCCAGAAGGGCTAATCTCACAAACGACAGAAATTCGATTCAACTCAGTCGCTGTACATTCAACTATGAAAATCAGTGTCATGGGTCAGGTGAATTTCTTATGTCTATTTTTATAATCTATTCAGAGATTGAACTTGCCAGGAAAAGGTTAAATCGGTATCAAATACACACGCTGTTAACCTTAGTTTCACAAACTCAGCGGGATTTCTAGATAAGGAGCCTCTATGGGTATACGTTGAGATCTTGGGAGTTCGACGTGTTCATTTCAGGAGAGTAATGACTTTCTTAAATATACAACTGACAATAATCAAACTGCAAATATCAGATTCTCTGAGGTTTGGGAATCAAAATAATCTAAACTTCAGTAGCAATTGGAAACTCATGGCTATCCCCAAGGACGATATCATGATATGCCATTCGTATTGGCAGACTCGACGCTCACTTACTTGACAAGTGTTACTAACAATAAAGATAGTTGAAGCTTTCAACATCACTCATAAAGGATCTTGAATGCTTTAACTGTAATCAAACATATCTAAGTTGACTCAAAACAATGGTGTTCTCTCTCACATTCAAATTTACTTTATAGATAGGTTGGTTTCAGGAAGTCAGAGAAAATGGACATCACCTAAGCCAGAGAAAACGCGTTTCTTCCTAGGGATAGCTCACCAGTTATCCACATGTTTTGCGGGGGTGGAGCATAATATGAATCATCAGGGTTCAAACAGACCAGCAGTCATTGTGACCATGAAACTGGAACTCCTTTTCAGCCCTTCTACACTTTACTTTGTCATGATCGTGATGACGGCTAACCTGAAAACCTTAAAGATTCATATTACGCTCAAACGTCCACAAAACCTTCTGAGTCCCCCAGTGGAAACGTCCCCCGTTTTCTCTGTTTCCTTGATGACGTCATCGATAGGCCATCTTTATCTAAAGGGAACTTTGAATATAATCCGCGGATTTCGTAGCAAGACGCTGTATGTTGGGACCCGTTGCCATCCAACCCTTTGTAATCAATTTAATTTTGCTTTTGATAGCTCAGGCAGAGCATTGTTAGTGAAGATAATAGTAGGGAATGAAACTGAGTTCATAGTCTCAGTTTCAACGTCAAAGTGTACAGTAAATTAATTCATCGAAATAGAAGTAGGTGGACTCCCTAACCTATTTTGAGTGAGGGTGCCGCGGGCATTTCAACCGTTAGTAAGTGCTCGCCCCTTCACCCATACAGGTAGGTCATTCCACTCTGTGTTGTAATTCGCCCTTCTTTACGTGATTTGACCCAATTAATAGTTGATTGTGCAAGTGTTACAGTAACGTAGTTGATATGCTCTGAATGAAGTAATATTTACGTCTTTAACGTCCCCTGAAACGTGGTCGTTGTCACCGTTAGTAAGTGCTCGCCCCTTCACCCATACAGGTCCCTAACGCAGCCTTGGCCGTGTCTGTAGCATGGATGTTGTATCCACTATGTCTGGGGAGATGTCCGAGGTCCAGTAGGATCAGTTACCTTCGTGAGACCCGACCGTCAGACACTTCAGACTACCTATGGGCCCCATAGCTGGCTCGTCTGACCCTAACGCTCGGCCCGCGAGGTGACCCTGGATCACCAAGCCACACACAACTACCAGCCCCCATCATTGGTGGATGAGTGTCTAACTCAGTAGGGCTGTCTGTGTGGTGGGGTTATTCCACTGGGATCTTCAGAGATCGTTGAGAAGTATCCCATTGTGGCAGGATCCCATGGCGGGTGCTTGAGTATCACTCCTGACGACTGAGTGTGGTAGTGGCAGTTGCCCCTGGTCTTAATGGTGCTAAGTTACTGTAAGAGTTTGTGTTATTGAGTATGTCCACCCAGTAGTGGTGTGAGTATGTTGAGCCTGAGGGCATAGTACCAGATTTCGTCTGTTGGTACATATATTCTTTCTCCTACCTCCATATTAATGTTTAAATAAATTTGTATTTGTATATTGTGTCTATTATTTACCTACAGTATCTACCGTTATTTCTTCCCCTTTACTTGATACTATCATTACATATACCCACGAGCCTCCTCTCGTCACGCTACCAATGGTTATAAGTATTAGAGTAAAGAAAAATGTTATAAGAGGCACGGCCCTTATAACCTTTGCTTGGTTTCTGACTCTTGTATACATCTTCCTGCCCTGCTCATCGTTTGACCCAACCCACGTCTTGAATTTCTGGATTTTCTTCTTAACTTTGTCGACCGCCGCATGAACATAAGAAAATAAGGAGTCTGCAATAGGCCGGTTGGCCTGTGCATGGCAGCTCCTGTCGAGAGTTACAACCACTCTCTATCATCCATGAATCTATCTAGCCTCCTTTTGAAACTTTCCAGAGTTCCAGCACTTACTACAAAGTTGCTAAGCTTGTTCCACTCGTCCACCACCCTATTTGTGAACCAATTTCTTCCTATCTCCCTCCTAAACCGAAACTTATCCAACTTAAATCCGTTGTTCCGAGTCCTATCCTGCTCGGATATTATAAGAACTTTATCTATATCCCCTTTATTGATTCCATTCACCCACTTAAATACTTCTATCATATCTCCCCGCACTCTTCGTCTTTCTAGGGAATGCAAGTTAAGTTTCTTTAACCTATCCTGATATGGAAGGTTTCTAAGTCCCGGAATCATTTTCGTCATTCTTCGCTGCACTGACTCTAGTGAATTGATTTCCATTCTATAATAAGGGCACCAGAACTGAACCGCATAATCGAGGTGCTGCCTGACTAGCGCAAGATATAGTTGCACTAAGACCTCTGCACTCTTATTACTTACACTTCTAGATATAAAACCCAATACTCTGCATGGTTCATGTGTAGGGATCCCCTCGTATTCCTAGAGGCACTGGGTTTGGTCTTGGGTATATATTTATCGATTCAATGGGTCACTTTACTAGTTATGATATTCAGCGTGGTGTCTGCATTCTTGTGCTTTAATGAGTTAGGCCAGAGGATACCCTGTAGTGAATTCCTCCCCTACAAGTGCTGTTTGTCGCTGAGTAGCTGAACTTTCTCGAATTCCCCAGCCTAAGCCTCCAGCGCCACCTGACGGAGCGGGGGTCAACTATCAATCCACGCCTACCCCCGCCTTATAAGACCTCACACCGCTGTGACCACCCTTTTTCTACCCACGGCCACCAGCAAGCAACACCACCTCCTCCGCTAGTCAGGCCGCACCTCGATTATGCGGTTCAGTTCTGGTGCCCCTATTATAGAATGGATATAAATTCACTAGAGTCGGTGCAGCGAAGAATGACAAAAATGATTCCGGGACTTAGAAACCTTCCATATCAGGATAGGTTAAAGAAACTTAACTTGCACTCCCTAGAAAGACGAAGAGTGCGGGGAGATATGATAGAAGTATTTAAGTGGGTGAAAGGAATCAGTAAAGGGGATATAGATAAAGTTCTTATAATATCCGAGCAGGATAGGACTTGGAGCAACGGATTCAAGTTGGATAAGTTTAGGTTTAGGAGGGAGATAGGAAGAAACTGGATCACAAATAGGGTGGTGGACGAGTGGAACAAGCTTAGCAACTTTGTAGTAGGTGCGGGAACTCTGGAAAGTTTCAAAAGGAGGCTAGATAGATTCATGGATGATAGAGAGTGGTAGTAACTCTCGACAGGAGCTGCCATGCACAGGCCAACCGGCCTATTGCAGACTCCTTATTTTCTTATGTTCTTATGTTGTAAAAATTGTGTTTAACCATGAAAAAATGCTCGAGACCGTAATTTCAGTCCTTTTGGAATGAATAAATTTTTACAAATGATAAAGAGGTAAGTTTTTCTTCATGAATGAATAAATTAAGTATTAATAAATAAATATATTAATATATAAATACGTCAAAGGTTAGTATAATTAACCCAATTTACGGCATCTTTAGTTTTCTATGAATACTGCTTTAGTTACGTCGATCAGCGCTAGATAGCGTAGCAAACGGCTGCACTGAAAAATATAGGCAAATTAAAGGAGTTGAGCTTCCTTACTCTACATTCCCTGCTTGCTGCCTTAGCCGTAATGAACAGGAGGCGTGCAAACAATAAATAAAGCTAATTTAATACCCATGTGACTAAAATAATATTTTTTAAATATCCCGAATACTATATAATATAGAATAACTTATCATATATATTACTCAATAAAATTGTGTCAGGAGTATTTTAGCAGTCCTTAGACTAAACCGCTCACACATTAAACGGGCCCTCGCTCACTCCTCCAAAACAAACCTGTCACTCGCACACTCGTACGGTGTGTTTAGAGAAATGCTCTTCATTCCAAATAAGAACGATGAACATCGGAATCTGACCGGTCATACATTAATTTTGGTTAGTAATGGTGTTCTACTTTGCTCTTGTTTTTGTAAGTAAATTGGGTAACGGGTGAGAAAGACTGTAACCGTACTGCTATGTGTTGCTCATGTTAGGTATTCGTTAATATTCCCCAGTGACCATGCACGGAACTTTATATTGAGATAATTATTTACGACTACGCAGCCTCTGATTTTTCAAAGAATAATAATTACCGGAGGCACTGGTATGTGTTGTCACTTAGTGATATGACTACTGCATCCTCCTCGCCAGTTACTCACGGTAGGTATTAGGGTATTATTGTGTTTATACATTCCACATTCCCACCACTAATCTATTATCATATATTAATGAGACGTCTAATTATTAGATAATTTTCATCTATTACATTACCGTCGCAAATGTATGATAACGGAGATAGCAAATCCAAAATTTTCTCGATATTCTTCCATTAATCCTCTGCCATTTATCGCCTACCTCACCTCTCACACTGCATGTCTCCTGTGTGTCTCTTTCATAAATCATCATGTGCATGCGTTCCCATACACAGAACGCGACCAATCAAAAGCGGTTTTTTTTTGCAACCAATTAAAATGATTTTGTGTTTAATTCGCGGCATATTTGGCCCAATCAAATTCGAGTTTTATTTTGGGTCTCATATTTCGAAATTCAAGTTCAGTTCCGACCATGGAAGTCTGCGATGGGTGTCACTTAAATTATATGGAGCTGATTGCGAGTTTTTGGGGAAAACCGAAGAAACTATTGCATTTTTTCGATTGCATGGTGTTCTTCCAACCTCAGTAAAGTGTCCTAAGAGCAAGACAATGTAAATATCGCAAAGACCAACATATGTGGCGTTGTTAAGAATCTTAGAATCCAACGACGAACAAGAACCTGGTCTCCAGGCCAATAAGGTAGGAAATAGGTGATTCCATCATATGGTGAGCATCAGTTAGGTTAGGTTTGGTTTGGTTTGGTTTTTGTTTTTCTAGTGTGTTTTTGTGTATTTTTTATTCGCTTAGCCATTAATTTTTTTTTAAAAACGTCTCACGAAAAAAAAATCGATAAAAAAAAACGGCCAATTTCCGACAGAAATGAAGGTCATATTCGGTCTAAACACACAAATACACAAGAAAAATATATTTTTGACATTCTAACAGAGTGAGAGGTGGAAGTCCAAATTTACTGGTATTAGTTAATATTCCTCAGTGACCATGCACGGACCTTTGTAAATTTTTAGTTGCACACCTGTCTTTTTCTCGCTGTTATTAATATGTATTTCGGAATGTTTAGACAATTCTAAGACTTTTTTTTCTATGATATTTCCGCCGGAAATTAAGGATAGCCGAGATATTAATTTTTCAATAGTATTAGATTTGCTCAGTTACATGTGTTGCTATGATTTGTTTACATCTGGCACCGGTCTTTCTTTTGATATTAGAAATATTTTTTTCCTATGGTATTTGATTAGTTTCGGACCAGTTTGATATTTATTTCCGCCTGGCACCGGTCTTTCTTTTGATATTAGAAATATTTTTTTCCTATGGTATTTGATTAGTTTCGGACCAGTTTGATATTTATTTCCGCCGATCACCCCCATTCAACAATCTTAACAGAAAAAGTTGTAAAAAAATTTTTCGAGTAAATCACAAATATAATACCAACAAAACCTAACCTAACCTAGCATGACTTAGCACTTGCATGTGGATGAACTTAATGCTACTAAGACAGGGGTAAGTAGCTGTGAAGTCCTCCATATTAGCTAAACTAAAAATTATTCATTCTACAGCATTTCTGTCGGATATTTATATTTTTCGAGTATTTTAGCCGATAAAATTATCAGCCATATTACTTGTTCAAAGTGGACAAGGCTTTGAAGTAGAGCCGTTTGGTCCGAGCGACTCGTAAATATACACTGAGTGGAGGACAAAATCGAGCATAAAAATATTGTAAGAAAGATCCATTGAAAAAATTCGGCTGCAACGGATATCTCATCAATATTAATAAAAAATTGAAACGACTATGCATGGAACCTATTAGAACCTAACCTCACCTAATCTTACCTAAACTACCTAACCTCACCTAATTTACTAACCTGTGCATTGCTGTTTCGATTTTCTTACTATCAACTAAACAACATCTCTAGAAAAAAAATAACAAATTCAATCCAATGTAAATCATTAACGGTAATTTATGTGGGAACCGCTACCACCAGAAGGAGTTGTTCAATTTCAATAATTTTTCCACAATGTTCCTATCATTATAATAAATATTTTAAAAGAGGTGACAAATTTTTATTCTAATGACAGTAGTCCCTCGGTTAACGAGCACAATCCGTTCTAGAAGGTTGCTCGTTAACCGAAAAACTCGTTAACCGAAACCATTGTTTCAATGGTGGATTTTTGGGTAATTGGTTCCAGCTCACCGAAAATTGCCTAAATTCAACAAAAAAGGTAGAAAAGTACACTTACTTTGAGGTGTGTATGTAGAAGACTCCTGGATGATGATGATGATGATGATGATGGGAATTAGAATGGGGGTGGAGGAGAAGGGAGAAGAGAAGGCATTGGGGTGGAAGAGAAGTCACCCCATGGTGCCATTTCACCCATAAAATTTTAGTTCTCTTGGTGCAATTCAAGATTATTTTCTTTAAATCAACACTGCACTGCATTAAATATTGTCAATATGTAAAATAAATTTCAAAATGACCAATAATTTGCTTGCAAACACAGAAAAAAAGCATTTAGTTGAAGAGAGCCTTAAGCAAGATGTTACCTCCACTGAAAAGACAGAGAGACTGGCGCCTGTTTCGTGTGTTGCCAGGCTGGATGGCGCGCATAAAACTAGTTTCCTTACCTTCAATTATGTTCAATAATTGTTAAAATGACTAAAACATTTAATATTAAACTTTTAAAATTATTGAATAGTATAAACTTCTTGATATTTACTAAAATAGTAAGGAATTTAAGCCCTAAAACCGATTACTGTATTGGCGGACTAATACTACAGCTGGTGGACCGCCAAATGCAAGCGAAAACATGTTGAGGTCGGCTTGTAAAAAACTCGTTAATCGAGGGATTGCTCGTTAACCGAAGTTAAGAATCTTGTGGAAGGTAACTCATTAACCGAAATCTCGTTAACCGAGGGACCACTGTATAAGCATTTATTTTATTTTATTTTTTTTATCTATGAGCATTACTCACCTGTAGTGGGTAGATCATGAAGAATGAGGGAAATTACTGGGTAAAACACAGTGAAAAGCTGATCATATGACACTAAAATGGTGTCTCGACGTGCTTTGTATGTGAAGAAATTAACTATTTACCAAAAATACTCCACTGAAAAGTATTTCAAGCCACCAAGTGTCATCTGTTTGTTTACAACCGACCCGCTTGATCCAAGTGTATTATCATATCCACAAAAAATGTAAATTACACTATGATGCTTCATGAAAGTTGCTTTCATTGGCACCAGATATCAAAATAAAAACTTTCTATTTAATATGGCCTTGGCTAGGAAGTTATGTAAGGTTATGTAGGTTTCTTTAGTTGGTTAGGTACATTTCTATTAGGTTCTAGTAAATGTCACCTCTTTTAAAATACTCTAATGATAAGAGCATGCCTGAGATTGTCATTCATTTCTTGACATGTAATCAAATAACGCAGAAGCCTCCGTATCGCAGACAATGTGAACCAAAACATGGTCACTATGGGAGATTTGATGGCACCACAATTACGGTAATTTATTTCTTCTACAAAGTACGTAGAGACATGAAATTACGGTATTACTGTACAGTATTTCAATTTCGTACAACCATGGAATTCTGAATTTTTAATGCGTGAAATTGATATACAGTGGGGTATGCTATAACGAATCTAATTGGTTCTAGAACCTCGTTCGTTATAGCATTCGTTCGTTATAGGATTAATCCGTTCCAGGCCCCCAAATACAACCACTTAACACTGAAAAAATTCTGTGGAAAATGTAAAAAATACGGTACTTTATCTTACCTTAGTGTTGTTCAGCATGCAGGACAGGAGGCAGAGGGGGAGGGGGGAGGAGAGAATTATGGAGAGGAGGTGGAAGGAGAGGAGTCATCCTTCCTAGCCCTCTTTGGTGACTGTCTCACAGGCACTTTGTCTGTAGGTTCTTTTGTTACTTTTTTAAAGAAGGAATCCAGGGTTGGCTGCTTTAACCTTGATTTCTGGACCTTCCAAAAGTAGCTCATAACATTGTCATTAAACACACTGATGGCCTTTTCCACAGAACCAACATCAGGATGATAATCCTCAGCAAGCTTAGACAGTTTGCTCCAGCAAAAGAACACATCCTTGAGATCTTTGGCTGGAATGATGCGGCTTTCCTCCTTGTCCTCATCCTCCCCTGACTCCTCAGAAGTTAAGCTCTGCTTCAGTGTCTCATTTTCTTCTTTGTGAAGCTCAAGCAGCTCCTCAGTGGACAGTTCCTTACTGTGCTCTTCCACCAACTCCTCAACATCATCATCATCCACTTCCAGGCCCATGGAATTTGCTCAGAGACACAATTTCATGAACAACAGCCTCTTCTTCTAACTCTTCGAAGTCTCTTTGAAGCACACATTCAGGCCACAATGGCCTCCAAGCAGCAGAAAGACACCTCACAGTAACCTCTTTCCAGGCTGAGGTAATTAAAAAAAACAGCATCTGCTATATTGAAGTGACTTCCAAAATTCCTTCAAACTAACATCACTGGAAGAAAAACATTTTCTAAACAGTGCCTTTGTGTACAGCTTCTTAAAGTTAGAAATTACCTGTTGATCCATGGGCTGGATGAGAGGTGTTATGTTGGGTGGCAAGAAGTGCACAGTGATGAAGTTGAACTCCTCTGGCAATTCAACCATCAAATTAGGAGGGTGGGCTTGTGCATTGTCCATCACCAACAAAGCTTTCACTGGAAGATTATTCTCCCTGAGGTATTCCCAAACACTGGGTCCACACACCTCAATCACCCACTCAGAGAATAAACTCCTGGTCACCCAA